TACTTGTTTTCGCTAAATATATTCATTTGGATGACATTAAAGAAGAATTTTTGTTTTGTGCACCCCTAAAAACTACAACGAAGAGTGAAGACGTCATGAATATGATACGTACTTTCTTTGAAACACATCATTTAGAGTGGAAAAACTTGTGTGGAATTTGCACTGACGGAGCACCTGCGATGCTTGGATCCAGATCAGGCTTCCAGAAGAAAATTAAGGAACTCGCACCTCAAGCAAAGGGTTTGCACTGCATGATCCATCGGTTTGCACTCGCTACAAAAACTCTTGCAAAGCCTTTGCAAGAAGTACTTGATTCTTTGTAAAGATATGAGTTCAGATCATGAAGCTCTGCTCTTCTATACTGCTGTTCGATGGTTATCAAAGGGAAATGTTGTTGAACGCGTGTTTGAATTGCATGAAGAACTTAAAATTTTTTTGGAGATGCAGGGGAAATTAGATTTCATGGCACAACTAACTGACAAAGCTTGGATGCAGAGGATGGCTTATTTATCGGATATATTTGGCCAGTTAAACAAATTCAACTTGAAACTTCAGGGTAAGAATTTGACAATTATCCAATTCAGAGACAATCTCCAGGCATTTGTTTCCAAACTTGAAAACTGGCGACGTAAAGCAAGTCTGGGAAACTTGACAATGTTCGAACACATGTCAACAGTGATTGAAGGATCGCAGGAAGGGATTTCAAAAAATTTACGGATGGAAATTATTGAACATCTTCAATCGCTAGAAAACGAAATGCAACGATATTTTCCTGAACTTTCCGAAAAAGAAGCTGCGCTGGTGAGAAACCCGTTCCACGTGTCAGTGGATATTGCCGATGTTCCGGAAGAAATTCAGGATGAATTTATTGAGATGCGAAATGATTCCTCAGCTCGTGATTTATTTCAGGAACAAACCTTGACGGAATTTTGGTGTTCCATGCGTCGTTCGTATGCCACTGTTGCGACACATTCTTTCCGGGTATTAGTACCATTTGTTTCGACCTATCTTTGTGAATCTGGATTTTCAACTCTTCTCCAAATAAAAACAAAGGCAAGAAATAGACTGGAAATTCAAGACGACATGAGACTGGCATTAAGTCAAACGCAACCTAGAATTTTGAAACTGGTTTCTCAGATGCAAGCGCAGTCATCCCATTAATCGATTTTTTCTAATATTTTTGTTCTGCCTTAAAATGTCACTATATATCTAAAATAAATTATTGAAGTCTTTATTTTGTTTTTATTTTATTTGGGGGGTCGCGGTGATTCCAAGGAAATTTGAAAAGGGTCGTTATCAAAAAAAGGTTGGGAACCACTGCTCTAGAGAGTTTTTTATAGAAAAACGAGATTGAAAATTAGTAATCTTATAAAAGGTCTTATTGAGGAATTGTGATAATCTGTATGTTGGAGAATTTATCTGAGAAAGCACAGGCCTAAGAGGGAAATCATTGAAACTCGCTGTGTTAACGTCTGCCTTGTGGAGCTTAGGTAGGCAGTATAGTAAAGGGGTCCTAGGGTTCTTAACTATTAGGCTATGGATGTTGCAATGTTTCTCAAGAGTACTTATACAATCTTTGACTTTAGTTCTAACCAACTTCTGATAATTGTTAGTAATGTTTTTGTTATTAATTTTTAAGTATTGTTGGGTGGCTATAAAGCTATTGACTCTGGAAATGTATTCCTCTTGAGCAACTATTGCATTACAATTGCCTTTATCTGCTTTTACAATGGTTAATTTATTCCTAGTGAACTTATTCCTAATGATCTTAGTGATGTCATATAATTTCGATTGACGCTGTCTCAAAAACAATTTGTTGTTATTGTAGTCTTTAGATATTTTTGTAAAAACATTAGCAAGCAGCAAAATTCATAAAAATTAGTATAGTATTAACATAAAAGAAAGTCTTATTAACTGTAACACCAACATACTCGTAATTAGTAAATTTAATGAAATTTGAACCTTGATCTGTAACAAAACCTAATACATTAAATCCAATTGCATTCAATTGGGTAATACAGCTAAAAACTAGTATATTAAGATACAAGTGTATAATCAAGTCTTTAAAGCACGCGCAACGAGTTTAAGGGCACGACGCAAAGCGGAGGGCCTTTAACGTTGCAAGTGCTTTAAAGACCAATTATACACGTGTATCTTATAGTATTTTTTATTATACCTGCAGTATAATTTAAAAATAGGAAATACAATAAAGTCATATTGACGTTATACTCGAATACATGTCTAATTAAGTGGGCTGGGTGTTCGTAATTTCACGATTGCCATGGAAATGTCACTTGATGTTTGCTTATAAAAATCATCGTCTTTGTGAATTAAACGATTTCCGTTGAAAAAGATAATACACCGTCCATTAAATCGATTGTTGTAAAATCTAAACAAACGTTGGTAGGTGTAAAATCCAAATCCAGTAAAGCCTATTATAAAGAATATGAAAAGTTGTTTCCATAGACGAATAGGAAGTTACTTACGAATACAGTCTTAAATGCATCCATAATGCTGGCATATATGAAGGAAATGTCAAAGGTATTTAAATCTTCTATATTTGGTGCATTCATTCAAAACTTTAAAGCAATGCTGCGATTAAAAAGTGGAACAGATTTGGAAGCATACCCTAAATTACGCGCGTTTGTGAAAGCTTCAACCAAAGGATAGGTACAAAAGCCAAAGAATGTTCTGCATTTACAGAAAGCGACCTAAGAGGATTTTTTATTTCATCCAGATGACAGTTCCAAAAGTCATACTTAAAGTATCGTTACTTAGCAACTTTAAAGCACGTGTGTTTTAAAGGCCCTTTTTCGCACGCATTTGAGTGTTTAAAACGGAGATTGTGATTCAGGTATAATAAAAAATTCCTTTTATATCGGCCGCTGAGCCTGATTCGTTGACAAAAAAAGTAAGGGGTTGGCTGTATCCACCTTTCATGAACACCTCGAGCCATTAATAATACCAAAGCACAATTTGCGGGTAATTGTGTTTTATGTTCACCTACCTCATAAAATCCTATTATTCTATCTTGAGACACATTATAAAAAACATTATGCGTAAGTGACGTTTCATCTGCACATAAAATACAATATTTATATGTACCAGATTTTGTCCTCAAACTAGTCTGATGTAATATTCGATTTACTGGCGAGACGGCATAATGCAGATTTTGGAGACATATTAAATTTTCGTGATATTAAACTTATATACTTTGGGACCCAAAAAATACATTGTCAGAGCAAATTGTTTGAAACTCTTACTATAACGGTAACCCTGTGGTTTCTTTCGGCATAACTCCAACTGCATTTTTACGAAATGTCCAACATCTTTATTAAAATTATCGTTGCAAAATTGTTTAAAATCACCATCTGTGAATTTTTTATTCTGAAGTTGTTCTTCAAGTTTTGTCACATATTTTCAAAGGCGAGTATTTTCTCTTTGAAGCTTTCGTTTTCTTGGAGTGGATTGCGGTAAGAAGCTTCTCAGTTTGGCAGGCAACACCTTAGTTACATAATACAAATTAGAAGTGAATTTAGAGTAATTAATAGGTAGGTATGTACTGACCTGGTACTATTTTCGTAATTTAAATCTTTTTCGGAATATGGTTTAAAATATATGTTCATGCAATGCAAAAGCTGCAGCGCTTATTAAGACAAAGTTTAATTTTTGTTTAGTTTCATCATTTGTGGGAAAATTTAACTTATTATCTAATCATTTCTTGTATAACGAAGTCCATTCGAATGCTCCACCATCAGACATTCTACCTTGTTTACCGACGTCCACATATATAAATTCATAATTACTATTTACTAAAGAATCATGCTGCAGAATTTTTTGTAATTGTAATAGTGCGCCTGAGCCAAGAGGAGGTATGATTCTAACGTGCTTCCCGTCTAAAGCGCCTCCACAATTTATAATCTGCCAACGGTTTTCAAACCCTGCCGCTATGCTGGTCCATTCTTCTTTTGACTTTGGAAACTGGAAAAAAAGGATATATATATATATATATACACACACACACACACACACACACACACACACACACACACACTTACCCGCCTCGTAATATTTATGGCAACATGAGAATAAACCCAAATTGTGGCGATTTCGTTTAAACATACATAAGAGGTAGCGCCATCTTGTGCGGATCATGAAAAACCGAGGGTATCCAAGATACCTTCCATAGGAAGGAAACTGTACTGTGTTAAGTATTATGGCATCATTTGCCACAATTATTATGAAACAAGATTTTAGTGTGTGGGCTGCCAGTAATATGCCATTTTGTGCAGTGTGTTAAAGAAAGATGTCATAAACATTGCATTTCCAAATTTGTGTGAAAATGCAGTGTTGCCAAGTTTTCACTCTCTGTTTTTCTTATAGATAACGATTGCTGAAGAGGATATTTCCTCTGAATATGTACATTAGTATAAAGGGGGAGGGTTACATAAGTTCTTCGAAACGAAAACTCCCATGAAAGCAATATTATTCAACTGGTGTGGGAGTTCGATGTGTTGCCTAACCTCATTCACGCTACGCTATGAAACCGATAGAAACGCCTAAGATAATGTCATTTTGCAAAATAGACAAAATTGATGACAAAATCATGGTTGCCATACAAGTTAGGTAGGTACGTAGTCAATTTTAGGTACCTAAATAGTGGTAGGTAGTTGCGCTAGTCTAGAATCTAGAGCAGTGGTGGACTAAAGTGCAAATGGCACCTGGACCAAAACATTGAATAAAAATTTATTCAATGACCAAAAGTTAACAGCCATCAAAGACATAAGCTGAATCAAGCAACGCTTTACAAATGTCCTGAAGCAGTTTATGTATTAAAAGTATCTCTAGTAGATTTCTTACAAACAAAATTCATCCTTGGGATATCCACTCCCCAGATTATCTCTCTGTTCTTACCAAATTAATTTACCTTTACCGCGAGATCCACATATAGTACCTACCGTTTAGAAAAAATTAACCCAGGTACAAAACACAATTTTGCTTAGAAATCTTTATTCAGTTGGCTATACACAAATACAGAAGGAATTTTATAAATCCCAATGAACAACAGAAAAATTAAAAATGTTTCAGAAAACTACAATAATCTTAATTAGTACAGCAATGGTACTTTCAGCATTGAATTGATAACTATCTATAAATTCAATGCTTTCAGTAAAGCTACCTAGTACCTGTACATTTTTTAGTAATAAGAAATAGATTAAACGTGTAAAATGTCACACTATAGTACAACAAAGGCAGTTTTTAACTTTGTATGAGTAAAGGCACTCATCTTTTCTCTTGTCTAGATGGTTTTTAATGCAGAATTTTACGTCGGTCCATGATCTTGTGGGCAAAACATCATGTTCTTCTAAGCACTTTTCACATTGAGCTTCTCCGGGTACTAGATCTTTTTTTAATTTCTTGGTTGAAAAAACCTAAGACAGCTGATTTTTCTTCTGAAGACCATATGGCGCGCTACTAGAGATTTATGCTGGAGTTTACCTGTAACATTAACATGATGTTAGATAAAATTTAACATTTGTATCTCACCAGAATCAAATAATGAAATAGTAAAATGATGAAAATAAACCTCTCGTCAGGAAAGATTGCCGGTCACAAAACACTTGAGCTGGGTCTACAATCGAGGTTTTTCTAAAAATGTAAGCGACTTCCGGGATAGTATCGTGTCAATGTTGAACAAAAAGACTTTTCGTTCAACATTGGCACGATCCTATTCCGGAAGTTGCTCGCATCTTAAGAAAAACATAGACAAGGTGTGCTGTGACGGGCAATCTTTCCTGGCGATAGTTATATATAATTTTACCTTTTGTATTTGGTTTTATCAAATCTATCTCCTCCATAATTTCCCCTGTAGTCTGTATTGGTGCGATTCGGTTTTCTTCAGGATTTAGGGCATCTGTAAGACACATATGATATAAATATACTATCGCGCAATCACATACATCCACGAAAAAAATGCAAATCATATACACACAGTGACCAAGGTAAGGATGAACAGCATGGGAAAATTGGAAACCATAAGAGATACACAGTCGGTTAATTAGAAAAAGTCGAGTATTTTAGGGCTTAGTAAGATATTTTTAAAATTCAGATATCTGATCAGTTCCAAAGGTATTCGACAGAAACCGAAATTAGCCGTATTCGTTTTTATTTTTGTCTGGTCCTGTTTAAAAAGATATCAAAAAACAAATAACCTTCCTCATAAGCACATCATGAACTTGATATTTTTATGTGAACCTGAAAAAAGTACATACTGTTCGAGTAGCATTTTTTATGGCGAATACAATGAAGTATGGGACAATTATCATTCAGAAGAACCATCAATGAATTATTTTGACATTTTGTCAACCCCTACTACACCAAAATGTTAACACATAATATTAATAACAATATTTTTAACAAGCATTTTTTCTGACATAAATAATAAACAACTTTTATTATGTTGGTGTAGTAGGTCATTGACAACATGTCAAAATAATTCATTTATGGGTCCTTTAAATGACATATTGTCCCATACTTATTGTATTCGCCATACAAAATGCTACTCGATACAGTATGTACTTTTTCTAGGTTCACAGAAAAATATAAAATTGAGGATGTGCCTATGAGGAAGGTTATTTGTTTTTATAATGGAGATGTGCAGATAAAGCTCATTTTTTTAGACCGAAATAGGGTTCTAAGGGGAGAAGGCGGTATGGCTCTTTATACACAAACATTTAAAGACCGCCTGGCATACATTCAAAATCCTCCGACACTCTATTCTGCAGATTTTTCCTTTGAGAGTACTTTCCTCCGACAAACAGTTTTCGAGACATTCGCTCTTAAAGTTTAGACATCACCAATGGATATATTTCTTGCAGACGTTCCAATCGCCCTTTGTGAGAACCCTCTTCCGACAATCCGTTCTGAAGATATAAGGGAATATATCCGATTACGATAAGAGGTCGAGGAGGAGGTCTATGGTTGGTAGAAATTAATTCCTTTCGTTGATACCTTTCATTAAAGTACCATGAAGGATAAAACCAGTTCCACTCCCCCCCCCCTTCCCCACCACTGTCTTTTGATAAGAGGACAGAGAGCAGGGCAGTAGTTGGTAGAAAGCGGTTCCTTTCGTTGAGACCTTTAATTAGAATACCATGAAAGACAAAATTAATTAATTAATTTCTAACTCCCCCCCCCCCACAACCGCCGGCCCCATCCCCCACTGATAACGAAAAAGAGTCGCGCGGGGAAGTTATAAGTATGTACAAAGCAATCTATTTGAATGATACCTTTAAGTTATGCACGTTTTACTATCAAAAACAGCATCTCAGGAAATAATTCATGCCCCCCCCCCCCCTTTAGACAGCGAAATTTTATAGTAAAAAATTCCAGGACCAGGGAAATTTTAGGACACAAATGAATTCGGAAATATTTACCTTGACAACGTTCGATGTCTTGAAGATCATATTCATCCTGGATGCTGTCTTACGGATGGACGGGATTTTTGAGCATCGACAAAATTCTAACTGATCTTCTCGGCATTGTTCCAAAAAAATACTGCAAAAATTATAATTAAAATTTGCATTGGAATTGGTGATAATTATAACATTATGGGGAAGCTAAATTTAAAAAACGAATCATTACAATGGAATGGTCATAACCAAATTAAATCTGTCATTATAGAGGGTGTCCGGTGTTGAACAGGTTATGCATCCGTAGGGACATATTTATTTCTTTATATCGAAATATTTTCTCCCCTAATTAATTTAGAGCAAAGTTGTAAAAAGGTTTCTTGTCGCTTGAACAATAAATTCTGCGTCTGCTCATGCCCTCATTTATTATTTTTAAAATCGGGAAACCGGAAAAAATATATAAATGAGAATTAGTATGTATTTGCCTAAAAAACTAATTTTTGTTTTCAATACTTTCAATGGACGAATGATTTATCACTAACATCACTCGTGCCGTGAAATCATTGAAACAAAAATTAAATTTCCAATTATCCTTTTAATTTATAACTTCCTTAATTTCTCCGATTTACCACAACAAATTACAAATGGGCACATCAATAGACGCAGAAATTTACAATCGACAAAAACGGTATTTACAACTTCAGTGTAAAATATTTAGGGAAAAAAATGTTTGGATATAAAGGAATTACCATCGATATGCCTATGGTGCGTAAACCAATTCTACACCCTGTATACTTCCGCATAAACTTTTCATGGGGCTCCTGTATTGTATCGAAAGCACATCGTAATCGTAGTTCGTAGTAACTTTATGTCTTCACCTACCTTACAGTCCTTTAGGTATTAATTAACACTTATCATCCAATGTCAATGACATTACGTTACGTAAGTACGCCACAACACAACTCCCCGCCAAAGACCCGAATGAAGGAAAATTGTAAAATGAAGCTGAGAACGTTCGTCTTATCATCTGTGATGCGATGCACTTTCTGCCAAGGCCAACGGAAATTCCAATCTGAAAGCCTACACTTACAATTTTATTTCCTACACTTATAATTTTATTTACAATGAAACGAAGATGTGTATACTGTATACTTGCAAAACTGTACAATTTGGCACAAAAAAAACTCATTTATTTATTCACCATTTTACTTCATTGCAAATTGAAAATCATACCTACCACGGGGCACGGACGATGGGTTCTTGTTTCTAAATTTCTTATATGATTGACTATTGGATTAGCAATGCTATAGTTACTCAATGCTTATTACTTATATTTAATTAACAAGACGATAAAGAGATTAACCTTTTACCAAAGATCATAATATGATCTTTGCTTTTACCATTATGTCCCATTATCATCTTGTGAAAAACGGGCGGATGGCGTTCTATTACGTACCGAACTAGCTAGAGCTTGAAATATTAAATATTTACAAAATAAATTTGACTGACGGCAAAATGGCAAAATTGTTTTTTGAATTATTAAAAAAACTAAAGTTGTCCAACTTACGTAAAAAATCATTTTAAAATGACAGAATTCCTATTAGGCAAATTTTTCTTCGACAAAGTGTCACCAAACTCGTAGGTAAAATATTTTAGGTTCCCAGGCGATATAGCGGGAACCCAAAATGACAAAAACGAAATTTGGGTGGGTTCAAAACAGACGCGCCTTTTTAGGTTGCACAAGTTTGTATAATAAGATTTCGGTGTACTGTAGTTTTCTCGGACGATGGGCGTCGTTTTTTGAATTATTAAAAAAACTAAAGTTGTCCAACTTACTTAAAAATCATTTTAAAATAACAGAATTCCTATTAGGCAGATTTTTCTTCGACAAAGTGTCACCAAACTCGAGGTAAAATATCTTGATCTCCCAGGCGATATAGCGGGAACTCAAAATGACAAAAACGAAATTTTGGTGATTCAAAGCAGACGTGCCCTTTTAGGTTGTACAAGTTTGTATAATAAGATTTCGGTGTATTGTAGTTTTCTCGAACGATGGGTGCCGTTTTTTGAATTATCCAAAAAACTAAAGTTGTCCAACTTATTTAAAAAATCATTTTAAAATGACAGAATTCCTATTATGCAGATTTTTCTACGACAAAGTATCACCAAACTCGTAGGTAAAATATCTTGGGTTCCCAGGCGATATAGCGGGAACCCAAAATGACAAAAACGAAATTTGGAGGATTCAAAACAGACGCGTCCTTTTAGGTTGTACAAGTTTGTATAATAAGATTTCGGTGTATTGTAGTTTTCTCGAACGATGGGTGTCGTTTTTTGAATTATCCAAAAAACTAAAGTTGTCCAACTTACTTAAAAAATCATTTTAAAATGACAGAATTCCTATTAGGCAAATTTTTCTTCGACACAGTGTCACCAAACTCGTAGGTAAAATATTTTAGGTTCCCAGGCGATATAGCGGGAACCCAAAATGACAAAAACGAAATTTGAGTGGGTTCAAAACAGACGCGCCTTTTTAGGTTGCACAAGTTTGTATAATAAGATTTCGGTGTACTGTAGTTTTCTCGGACGATGGGCGTCGTTTTTTGAATTATTAAAAAAACTAAAGTTGTCCAACTTACTTAAAAAATCATTTTAAAATAATAGAATTCCTATTAGGCAGATTTTTCTTCGACAAAGTGTCACCAAACTCGAGGTAAAATATTTTGATCTCCCAGGCGATATAGCGGGAACTCAAAATGACAAAAACGAAATTTTGGTGATTCAAAGCAGACGTGCCCTTTTAGGTTGTACAAGTTTGTATAATAAGATTTCGGTGTATTGCAGTTTTCTCGAACGATGGGTGCCGTTTTTTGAATTATCCAAAAAACTAAAGTTGTCCAACTTACTTAAAAAATCATTTTAAAATGACAGAATTCCTATTAGCAATTTTTCTACGACAAAGTATCACCAAACTCGTAGGTAAAATATTTGGGTTCCCAGGCGATATAGCGGGAACCCAAGATGACAAAAACGAAATTTGGAGGATTCAAAACAGACGCGTCCTTTTAGGTTGTACAAGTTTGTATAATAAGATTTCGGTGTATTGTAGTTTTCTCGAACGATGGGTGTCGTTTTTTGAATTATCCAAAAAACTAAAGTTGTCCAACTTACTTAAAAAATCATTTTAAAATGACAGAATTCCTATTAGCAGAATTTTTCTTCGACACAGTGTTACCAAACTCGTAGGTAAAATATTTTAGGTTCCCAGGCGATATAGCGGGAACCCAAAATGACAAAAACGAAATTTGAGTGGGTTCAAAACAGACGCCCCTTTTTAGGTTGCACAAGTTTGTATAATAAGATTTCGGTGTACTGTAGTTTTCTCGGACGATGGGCGTCGTTTTTTGAATTATTAAAAAAACTAAAGTTGTCCAACTTACTTAAAAAATCATTTTAAAATGACAGAATTCCTATTATGCAGATTTTTCTACGACAAAGTATCACCAAACTCGTAGGTAAAATATCTTGGGTTCCCAGGCGATATAGCGGGAACCAAAATGACAAAAACGAAATTTGGAGGATTCAAAACAGACGCGTCCTTTTAGGTTGTACAAGTTTGTATAATAAGATTTCGGTGTATTGTAGTTTTCTCGAACGATGGGGTGTCGTTTTTTGAATTATCCAAAAAACTAAAGTTGTCCAACTTACTTAAAAAATCATTTTAAAATGACAGAATTCCTATTAGGCAGATTTTTCTTCGACAAAGTGTCACCAAACTCGTAGGTAAAATATTTGATCTCCCAGGCGATATAGCGGGAACTCAAAATGACAAAAACGAAATTTTGGTGATTCAAAGCAGACGTGCCCTTTTAGGTTGTACAAGTTTGTATAATAAGATTTCGGTGTATTGTAGTTTTCTCGAACGATGGGTGCCGTTTTTTGAATTATCCAAAAAACTAAAGTTGTCCAACTTACTTAAAAAATCATTTTAAAATGACAGAATTCCTATTATGCAGATTTTTCTACGACAAAGTATCACCAAACTCGTAGGTAAAATATCTTGGGTTCCCAGGCGATATAGCGGGAACCCAAAATGACAAAAACGAAATTTGGGGGATTCAAAACAGACGCGCCCTTTTAGGTTGTACAAGTTTGTATAATAAGATTTCGGTGTATTGTAGTTTTCTCGAACGATGGGTGTCGTTTTTTGAATTATCCAAAAAACTAAAGTTGTCCAACTTCCTTAAAAAATCATTTTAAAACGACAGAAGGAGAAATCATTAATAATATTTTTGGCTCAAACGTTTTGTGCTGTAAAAGATGATGTTTTCTTGAATTTGAAGATGATTGCCACATTGACCATACCCTTTAGATTCAAAATGTTTTACAATCATAAGTTTGCACGGTACAATGGCCTAATAAGAGGTATCAGGCCATGCATTAGATGAATGTTGAAGGAAGATCCTATGAAATAATGCGCGCCGGTAGGTATGCGTTCCCAATTTATGGAGAAATGGGAATTTTATAGACAGATACACACGAGGACGAATGGTCTTCATTCCATTTCAATAAATCATTTGCGATAACTTTGTGAGGTACTTGCGATAGCGCCGGTTTGATGTACCGCCGGCTAGTCGTCGCCGGTTTGGTCATTGCCGGTTAGTAGTGTACCGGTCTACACTTCTATAGCCTTAAGTTTGGTAATTTTATGTTTGTTTATAAACAATAAAAATTGGCTAAGTTATCAGTTCTATCAAAGTTTATGGGACACAGATGGTATAAGTATAGGTAAATGTAAATGCGTAGTGGTTTCAAACTAAAAAAATTCGTTAAGGCCCTTGTAAGCAAGAGGCGAAGAGACCACTTTCAAATTTAATTTTGCGATTGTAATCGCCCTTATCGACAGTTCATGACTTAACGAGAATACAAACATGAAATAATTTTTAATTTCTGATCGAATGACACCACTACCAAGTCTGTAAGTGGTGTAGTTCCGGAGCCTTTGTGACTCAGACAGACAGACAGACAGACATCAAGAGCGAAAAAGTGCGCTTTTTATTTATTGTAAGTGCACTAAACATGTCCCTTTATACTTAATTAGATTAGAACCTACGAGCTTATTTTTTACTCGTATATTAGAATTAGAATACTTAAAAATTTGTATGTGTATAAAAAGAAAATAAACTCGCATTAAAATTTGCACCGCAGACGTAGCAAACGCAGGCAGTGGTAATCAGCTGTTCGTGTATTAATATCACCGGTCAAGGTCAATAATACAAGGCAAATCACACCGCTGCATTCTACGATTCTACCCACATTTTAATAACTCGTCCTACAAACAAATTACAAAAAAGTGATATGATATGACCTGTTGTTTCTTTTTGCAATTTGATAGTAGTATCGACTGTGAAAACTTGGACTTGCGGCGAAAATATTGACAGTATCATGTTTTTGAAAATGAAAATTGGAAGATTGTTATTAGCCACCGTTTTCGCAAATACCTAGGTTAAGGTACCTACATAAAGATTTCGACGGTATTCTAACGAGAGGTCTTGAGGTAGACTGTAGGTCAGCAAAATGCGCCCGGAAGTATTATACCTATAACCTATTTATTCGTTATGGATGATTCACGTGCGCCAAGAATGATTTCTGTTATTTTTATTGCTAGAAGTTACAAAAAGAAATTTTCTTTCGAAAATGAAGGTCAAAACTTTTTCAACAGCAAACCCATTATAGTGAGCAAGAGGCAAAAAGTGCACTTTCAAATTTGTTTTTTTCGATTTTAATAGCCCTTATGGATATTTCATGCCTTTGCGAGAATACATACATGAAATAATTTTTAATTTCTGATCGAATGACACCAATGCCAAGTCTGTAAGTAGATGGTTCCTGAGCAATTGTGACTTTAGACAGAGAGACAGACAGACATAAAGAGTGCAAAAGTGTACTAGTTAGACTTAGATCGTTGAATGAAAAAGATGATGATTATTAAGCCGCAGAGCAAAGCGATCTTTGTAGGGGAATCGATGGTGTCCGTCTGTCCGTGAACACGATAACTGTCAAACGCTTGCACAAAAAGTATATTATAGTTTTCTGTGCATAAGTATATACTTTTTTTGCAAAAACCTTGAATATGTTTGTGGTTTGTGCAGGAAGATCCGTAGCCCCCCCCTCCCCCCAATTAAACCTTTTTATACCAAACTTACACCATTTTGTGTACTAATTGGCGAAGACCATTGTACTCAGTGAACACAAGGAGACTGATTCAGAAGTGAAAATGTTGTCATATAGCAATGGAGGAAAGATTTGAGAACTTGAGACAATTTGAGGAACTTAAGATATATAAGACTCTTGCCTTGTTTAAGTATGAAGAAGTTCAAT